TTCAACCAACCCAAAAATTACCTAAGGCACATGGCCAAGAGAGAAAATAGTTTTCTCCTATACCCTAAGAAAAAAATATTCTTTCCCTCTTTTTTAACGTTGTCGTAAAATTTCCGGGATTGATTTCTAAATGAAATACAAAATAAAAAAAAGTGGAGCTAACACCTCATTAATTTTGAGTGCTTCTTTGTGAATTCTTGGACTGCATGGATCATCAATAGAGGCCAAACACTTGGACAACTTTACTGAAAAGAAATTTAGATATGTGCTACAATAGATAATTCTTTAACTTATAGCTTATTAATCATGCATGTATGGTTAATAGATTCAACAGACTTGATCTTGAGGCCCGGATAAAGAAAATTTTTGTTTATTTCGCACATCTATAGGATGCATGATCCTTCAACGGACAACATGTCGCCTGTTTCCCAAAGAGAGGACGATGTGTCATCCAACTTTTTCTTGGGAGGGGGTGCTCGGGCTTAGAACCATGCCCCGAGTGTGCAAGTCTCGCCTTGTACCTTTATTTTGGCTTTTTTTCAATAATTTATTATTATTGTTAGCACCCAATTTTTTTTCAAAACAATAAAAAAAATAATACAAAAAAAAGAAAAAAGAAAAAAGAAAAAGGACTTAAAAATTATAATCAAGGGATGCGATTGAAAAAAAGAGGAAAAAGTGATCAAAATGAAGCAAGTTTATGAGATGAGAGACCAAGCCAAACTTAGCTTAAAAAACCTTACATATAAAAAGCCCAACCAAGTAGCACCTCCAACCGTCACTCCCGGTCATCTTTCCTCCTCGGTTGACCGAATATCGATCTCCATCAAAGTTGAAAAAGGATCTAAGCAAATCTCAATTCAACGGATCGATTTGCTTGTTTATAGTAATTTATTTTCACCTTGCTTTATTTCATTTTTTAAAATGTATTAAATTTGATTTGTATTAATATGTGTCCGTAATTTATTTAATGATTGCATTTGTGTAATTGATTTAATCTGTTGTTCATTGTATGTTTTGTCCGAATTGTGGTTGTGTGTGTCTAAATTAATTTATGGCATTTGTGATAATTGGGCGATGTGTTTACCTAGATGCTTACTCGTTGTTTGATATGTATATTTTTAAAATGTGTTAGCATGAGTTTTGGGATTGGACCTCTTTTGGTCGGACATATGCATGTCATGACAATTAATTTTGCACGATATTGATTTTTTTAGCCGAATTTTGTTTTTTGCCGATTTCAACTCGTTTGTCGGCTTTCGTCAAATTTAGCTTAGTTGTCCATTTTTTTTCCTTTTACCAATTTAGGCCTAGTCATCAATTTTTGCCCAATCGTTGATTTTTACTAACTTGCCAATTTTCATTGATTTTGCCTAGTTGTCGATTCCTGTCGATTTTTGCCAACTTGCCAATTTTTATTAATTTTGCCTAATTATTGATTCTCGTCGATTTTTACCTAATTGTTGATTTTTGTCGATCGGTCGATTTTTGCTAATTTGTTGATTTTGCCTAATTGTCAATTTGTCAATTTTTGCCTACGATTGCCTAGATTGTGGATTTTCATTTGTTTTTGCCCTAACCGCTGATTTTTGCCTATGATTGCCTAAGTTGTCAACTTTTATTGTTGTTCTCTTGCATTGCCGATTCTCGCCTATGATTGTATAAATTGTCGACTTTTGCCTATGTTTGTATAAAATTACTTGATTTTTTACCTAATTGCCAAATTTTGTCTAAGCATCGATTTTTGTTAATTTAACCAAATTTATCATGATTTGTCTCTTTACCCATGTAGCCAAGTATGCCTATTTTTGCTTATTGTATCAATTTTTATCCATTTAATTTTATCTGTTTTGCCATCCTTGCATCATCATTTTTAGCTATTCATTACATATTGAGGACGAGATCTCTAGTCGATCAAGTCTTGAATCACTCGACTAGGAGAATGTTTTCATAAAAAATCGAAATCGAATCAATGTTGTATGCAATGCAGCTTGCCTTGGCAAGACGGAGTAGGGTCATTTTTAATCTTTCCTACACGTAATAAACCTCTTATCTTGATCTCTCGAACATACTAGTCATAAGATTTCCTAATAGTCGTAATATTAGGTGGCAACTCCAATCATTTGTTCCCATTTTTCCTTTTTTTTTTTTTTTTCAAATTCATCGCCCTCGCCATCGACGTCGCCTTGCGACAATTATTATTGATATTATTTTGTTATGGATTTTTGAAAAAAAAAAATTACGAAAGATTAATTTTTTTATATGTTTCTCATTTAGTCCGACGAGAATGAAATATATACAATATGTTTCGGATAATTTGTCTTAATATATATATGCTATACACTTTCTACTAGATATAATCAAGATGTATATAAAAATATTAAATCATCAATTTTATTGAAAATTAACTATATATCTACCTACATAACACCATTTGCTATTTTGTTTTTAAGGTTATAAACCAATTTCCTTGAAATAATTTTTTAAAAGAATTACTAAATTATTCAAACATTTTTTATGCTAATATTATTGATTATTTTGTGAATAGATTTATATAAATCAAACACATATACTTTTAGAGATTAATCTTTTCATTAGCATTAAATAATAATAATAATTTATTTTTTTAATTTTTTACAAGTCTATACATCAATTGTAGCTTTAGTTTTTGGATATAATTTTATGAAAAATATATTTTTAAAGTATTTTTTTAATATAATTTTAAATTAATATTTCAGTTTAAATTATTTTAATTTTTTATTTAAAAATCAATGCATAAAGAATAATGAGTTATTTTTTTTTAGTAGAAAATTTGGTTTTGAAATGATGAAAATTAAGAAACTCGACATTTTAGCAAAATCGAGTTCATTGGAAATTGCAAAGGTTGTTGAAATTTTTTTTTTTTTTTTTCTATCCTAGCCTCGTGCGAGCCGGGTCCCCAAGCGCGCGGACTTGGTCCTTTAGGCTTAAACGCACGGGATTGCACGTTTGTTTTTTTTCTTTAATTTTTTCAATTAAGAATTTTTAAGCAAAAATTATGAAACATCGAGAGCTATTATTTGTGTTTTAACTTAGCATGGTGGGGATAGAATATATGTAGTATCTTTTTATTTTTTATTATATTATTTTTATTATTTAAAAAATATTCTTTGAATTTATCATTTCTTATGAAAATTCTCATCCCATTTTTTTCTATAAAATTTTACTTACCGATAAATATAATTTATTTTTCTCTATTTTGATTTTAGAATAAAATTTTAAAACATGATTTTTTTCTCTTTTTTAAAAAAATTAATATAATATATATCATAAATTTTTAGAATTTTTAAATGATTGTGACATATATATAAATAGATAAATATTTTAATCTAAAAAGTTAAAAGTCTATAGTAAATAATTTATCTCAATCCACTAAATATGATCATGACTCATAAAAAACTATTGAATCTTCTCGTTTTACTAAAAATTAAATATGCATCTTCACACATAAAACTAACTAGTTACAATGAATATTTTTTTTAACATTATACAACTAATTTCTTTGAAATAAAATAATTAAATTAATTTTTAAAAAGAATCACCAAATGATTCAAATACAGTTTGTTTACTAACATTATTGATTATTTGTAAATAAATATATATAGATCAAATACATATATTTTCAAAAAATAATCTTCTCATCAGCATTAAAAAAATAAAAAATATTTTTTATTTATTAAGTTTTATATAAATCTATACATTACTTGTAATTTTATTTTTTAAATACAATCCTATGAAAACATTATGAAATAGTTTTGTTTTGTATGACTTAGAGCGTAGCAGAGACAATCAATTAGTCAATACTAGGATGTGTAGTGAAATTTTGAGTGTAAATGAACATTGCCAATAAATATGCGTGAACAATGTAAAAAAATAGTAATTGTATAGTATTTTTGTGTTATGTTTTAGTTTTATTAGTAATTAGTAACATTGTTTTAAACAATTTTGCTGAATATATATATATATATATATATATATATAAAAGTTATTAGCCGTTTATATATATGTAAATGTATATATATCCACTCTAATTTTGTTTATTTTCAAATTTTGGTGGGGTTGTAAAACTTTTGAAACCGCTTTTTATAGAATAAAGCACTGAAAGCAGCAGGAAAGACGGTGTGCTGTCTTGCCTGACATGATTATTCATGTGGTCCAATTGGTTCAAAATTTTAAAATCTAAACTGCATCAATAATTCTTTGTTAAAATAAATAAAAATAAAAAATCACCCCTCTTTTTTTGTAAATTATAAATTAGTCCTTTACTTTTTTAGGAAAGAATTAATTAGTCCTTATGGTTTCAAAATCTAATATTTTAATCCTTTTTGAATTTTTGAATTTATTTTAATTTTTGTGTTAATAAATAGAAAAGAAAAAATAAGTAAAAATTATGAAAAGATTAATGAAAGATGATATATTTTATATAAAAAAAATATTAAATTAATCATGATAAATACTGTTTAAAAAAATTAAATAATTAAGTTTTGAAAATTAATTAATTTGTTTCTAAAAAAGAGAGCAACTAATTTGTAATTTACTCCTTTTTTTTTTAATTTGGCAACTCCAAACAAATATCAACAATATATGTAGTGTGATGTGTAATTTTAGTCATGCAACTTCTTATAGATTTTGATTTAATCCATTTAATAAAATATCAACGTAATCGCCCCCAAAGTTTTCAATTATGGAGACAATAAAGGTTTAGCTATGATAAAACTCTCAATAACAAATGCTAAATTTGAATGTTCATTTCATCCTGAAAGGGACTAAGGTGTGACGCACGTTATATTACCAGGACCAAAGTGCATTATCCGAAAAAATTGAACTAAGTGGTGGGTCCCACTAATCAGGAACAAACAAAACATCCAACAAAAGCACACTCCAGAGACAAAGATCCACCTAAAAGAGGCAGAATGCCATGATAAACAGAGGAAAAAGAGAAGGCAAAGAAAAACTCAAACATGGCAAACCCTAGAAGGAATTCATACTCAAACAGCACAGAGAACCCATTTCAGCTCCAAAATCATTCAAGAATATCATCTATAAAGCATTTTTTAAAAAAGCCACATGCTTTCCCTTTTTTGCTCTCAATCTTTCTCTTCCTCGCATGGGTTTCTCTCAGGCTCCAGCACTCCTCTTCAAGATTGTCTTCTAGTAACAGTCTCCATTGGAGCAAAGAGGAGGATGAGAAGGCTAATTTGATAAGGTTTAAATCTGGGTTCTTAAGTTCTAATGATAAGCGTGGCTGGTTACTTGACCCTGTGTCTATTGCTCTTGAATCTGGCATTAAAGGTTACACCTTTTGGTCTTTTTATTTTTATATGACTCGATAAGAATAATGGGTTTTTATTATTTTGGTTGATTTCATTGTTTGATATCAAATTAGCTGTTTGGTGGTTGATAGTCTAATCTCAGTCTAATTTGACACTGTTAAATGCTGCATTAGATTAATTTTGATGAGTTTTGCTTGTAATAATTTCCTTTGTTGTTGAAAGAGGAGGATTTTGTTATTGTTACAGGTGGAGCTGTGTCTTGTGCTTCTATTCATGTTGGTGAAATTAGACCTGGTGGTGTAAGGGGAAATCACAGGCACCATACTTGCAACGAGACATTTGTGATTTGGGGTGCCAAAACGTTATTTAGGGTATGTTTCCTCTCATTTACAATGTTATCTAATTTGTAATTGAATAGTATGCTAATAACAATGGGGGAAGATTGTGCATTGAACTATGCAATGAATAGTAAGATATGAATACGTAGCATTCAAGTGCTTTAGAAATCTTTCATGTTTCTGTTCAGTCTGCTTTCTTATGAAAATATAAATGTTTTGTCATTTATCTGTGTAACTAGCTGACCTTTTGGTCTCATGAGCTTTTCTTGGGACTGCAAATCATTTCATATGATTTTTCAACAGAAAAAAAAAATCTTTTGAGAATTGGTTCTAAGATGTCTATGCCAATAATTCTGCCTTTGTCTCAGCATAAAAATAAGATTGGAATTCCATTGCTTCTAAGTTGCTTTGTTCTTTTTTTTTCCCTTGGTGCTGTTGCAGTCTTATATTTGATCGGATCCTTGATAGACTACATAATAGCTTATTGGGTTGTTTTTTTTTTTTGGTATGCCTTCTCGTTCAACCTTATTTGGCAAATTAATCTGTGGAATTGCTGAACTCTGCTGGTTCAAATAGGTTTCTTTGCCACACGATAAACTCTTAACCTGTGCTCTCACCATGTGACTCCATGCTTGATTTGTACACCTTGAGTTTATTGGCTATGAGCTGGATGCTAACATGTGTGTGCTGAAGATGCATAAAACGAGAAATATCATATGTTCTTTAGTTTTTATTTTTATTTTTTATTTTTTATGAAAGATCATATCATCTTATATGTTACCAAGTAACTGGCAAAGTGGCTGGTTTACGACTTGATAAAAGGAGGAGAAAATAAGTTTTTTAAAAAGAATTAGTAAAGATATTAACGCTTGACTGGAGATGTGTCATGTACTGTTGATCTGTTATTCTCTATGTATGTTTTCCTTATAATTTTCTCCCAACCATTTGCAGGTGGAGAACAATCAGATAGTCGATAAAGGTTATGCTGAAGTGATTGTAGGCGCAGATGAAGTTGCTGTTGCAGCTAGCCCGAGTGGAACAGCCCATGCATTAGTAAATATGGATCCTACGCATACTGCATACCTTTTAGGGTGCCAAGACAGCACAATAAACTATAACAGCTCAACTACTGATTTTAGTGTTTGGAAAGATCTCTAGGGTTAGTTCTTTTCGTCCATACCTCCCTCTGCTGCCCTTCAACAAGCTGAAATGGAACATGTTTTTGTTCACTGTCTAGCGTGTAATTATTGTCACAGATGTATAAGAGGATGACTTATATCTACCTGTAAATAAAGCATAATTCTGGTCCATAGCTTTTAGTTTAATATCAATCATTATTTTATTTATTTTTTTCCAAGTGCTTTAGCCAGTACAAAATGCTCAGATATGTTTATAGATTTGAATCTTACTATAATTTGCAGTTGCTGTTAGAATAAATTTGAGAAATCTGCTGTTTGATATATTTTTCATGTTCATGATACCAATGGCCACATACGGTTATGTGGTTGCATGCTGCTTTACCTCAGCTATGCATAGAATTATGTTTAGTGGAGTGATTGTCTTAGCATAGATTGGTGGATGCTGGGTGGTGATATTGGCACTCCGACAATGGTTAACCACTCTCCCCGTTCCTCGTATTTTTCTGTGCTGACTATAATCCTCATGGAATAGATGTTGCTCTTTATATACCAGATTTTTTATTATTGTATTAACCCTTGTAAAGATGCAGTCACCATCATCTCCACCAGATTTAGCCAAGCATCTCAACCCAAATTGGATGTTGGGAGGTGATATGAGCCCCAGTTGATTGTCTGATCTCGCTGTAACTTTAAGTTGAGGTTGCAGAGAGGACTACGGATTAGGGTTTGGTTGTGGAGCGATGGAAGAGAGTGGTTTTGGTGGCAGTGGTGGTGGTGGAATTTTGGAGATGGCTGGCTATTTGTTTTTCAAAAACCACCACTATAACCACCGTAGTATTAGTCCATGTTTTTAATTTTGACAAGTATTCTTGATGACCTAACTAGTGTTTGGAGATGCCTTACAAGGTAGCGAGGGAGGCAGTCGTGGAAGCAAAACCTATTGCCTTGCCGGCCACTTAATACGAAATTGAGTTATGAACGAATCTGGAGCATTTATTTTATTTTCTGCTCCAATAATATTGCCATTAGCCAACCTTCCCACGCTTGAAAGCTATGCAATAAAGAAAATAGGTTGCTTGAAACAACAAGCAAGCAAACCATACTTGGAAGGAACTATTTGTCTACGCATAATATATGAAACCACAGAACATAAACCAAGCAGTAAAGAGAGAAGAAACTGAAAACTAGCCTTGTTGTTTTTGTGCTCTGATTGCCTGCAAAATGGAGAAGGGAAAGAAGAGAATGGCTGTTTTAGTAGGGTGCAACTATCCAAACACCAGAAATGAGTTACATGGATGCATCAATGATGTGCTAGCCATGAAGGAAATGCTCGTGAAACGGTTCGGGTTTGATCTTAGCAATGTTCAGCTCCTAACTGATGCAGCAGGGTCCGTGATTCTGCCCACTGGTGCAAACATAAAGAAGGCACTTGGTTACATGATTGATCAGGCTGAAGCAGGGGATGTCCTGTTCTTCCATTACAGTGGACATGGAACGAAGATCCCATCCGTCAAACCTGGCCATCCCTTCAGGCAGGATGAGGCTATTGTGCCCTGCGATTTTAATCTCATTACTGGTACATATTCTCTCTTTTTTTTAGGTTATTTCAGATGATCATGACAAATGTGACAGATTGTTTAATTTCGGTCATACTTGATTATACACGTATATTTGTTAGAGAATAATATAAATCATATCCCGAGTCTTACCTAGTAGTTTAAGTTTTTGAATGAGATGATCTTTTGACATGATATCAAAGCATTGCCCCATTTTTTCTTCTAATTAATTAAGCACAAAGTATTGTGAGCTTTTACTTGAGGGGGTGTGTTAAAGAATAATATAAATCATATCCCGAGGTCTCACCCACACTACTTTGTACTTAATTAATTAGATCGAGGTAAGGATTAAGTCTTTTGGATAGAACTCAATCTCATCCATCTAACTTTATATGGTATCGAGCCTTGATGACCAAAAAGTTAAGAATTCGAATCCTACCACCCCCACTTTCTTTTATAATTACTCACCTAATAGCTTAAGTTTTTGAATGAGATAGTCCTTTGATAACATTATCATGTTCGAATACTATCACCGAACTCACCTAATAGCTTAAGCTTTTAAATGAGATGATCCTTTGATAACATTATCATGTACGAATGGTTAAGATAAGATGATTATATCAGCAATGACTATCCGTAACATTATTCTGAGTACTTAAAAGTTTTCACGAACAATTCTATTGTCGGTGAATCTTATTTTCCATCTTTATTATGCAGATGTGGATTTCAGGCAATTAGTGAACCGGCTGCCAAAAGGGGCAAGCTTGACAATCCTTTCTGATTCATGCCATAGCGGTGGCCTAATTGACAAAGAGAAGGAGCAAATAGGGCCTAACGCAACAATCACAACCAATAATGCTACAGTGCCTTCTCACAGCCCTAAGGCCATCCCATTTGTGTCCATACTACAACACCTTACATCTTTAACAAACATCAACACATCTGATGTTGGTACCCACTTGTTAGAGTGTTTTGGATCTGATGCAAGCCTTAAGTTCAGATTCCCACCACTTGAATGGGGCCAATTTGAATCAATAAAGCCAGATGATGGAATTTTACTAAGTGGGTGCCAAGCAAATGAGACTTCCGCTGATATGAGCCCAAATGAGGGTGGAGGAAAATCCTATGGAGCATTTAGCAATGCAGTGCAAATGGTATTGAAGGAACATTCAGGTCAATTGAGTTACAGACGGCTAGTTACAATGGCTAGGGAAGTGTTACAGACACAGAGGTTTGAGCAACAACATCCTTGCTTGTATTGCAGCGATCAGAATGCTGATGCCACTTTCTTGTGGCAGCCTGAACGCTAGCTAGCTAGTTCGAGTAATGAGATCATGGGCTGGTGGTTGTCTGCACTCTGATCGGTCACTTGCTTTGTGCTTGTTGTAATAAAAGTGGCATGTAATAATGAGGTTCACGTCCCTGTGCCTCTCCTCGAACCATTGACAAACATTTATTCTTACGTAATGTCTTGTGAACAAAAATTTAATCTGAGTGATCAATTTTTTACCAATCAAAATTTTCTTCTCAACATTTGCACCGACAATCTCATTTGAAAAGTATCAACGTTAAACTAATAGAATCTCCCATGTGCAGAGAAAGGTTTCAGCATCTTTATCATCTCTGTTTTTCTTTCTGATACGTAGGTCAGGGGAGCCATAGAACGTAAATATATGGAAGTCATTAGAAGGAACAAGGAAGGTGTCAAGTGGTACAAGACATGAATCCAAACAGCAAAGAATGACAAAATAAGCTAACATCAAAAACCCTTTTCTCACGACTCAGCATTTGACAGGATCACAGTGACAAAATGCATGAATCCTCTGCAGAACATGCGATTTTCTCAACTGGGGCAATGCTGTTTGGTGGTGGGGTTTAAGGATGGTAACTTTTATAAAAGCAAAGATATATAGTAGAGGGGTGTAGTGTAGTAGTAGTTAAAAGATGAGGCATAAGGCCCCATGCTTGAGGTGGCAGGGAAGTCCTCGCTGACCTTCAGAATGATGTCCCGTTATCTCCTTCCTCACATCACCACACCTTTCCTTTATGTAGAGCACAATACACGAGAAAGCTAAAAGAGTACATGTCCAAAGAGGAAAAGAGACTCGGTGATGTTGGGTAAAATCTAGCTCACAATCACAAAATGTAAATACACGCATGCAATTTAAGATGATTAGTTTGAGTGTAAGAAACTTTAATCGTTTAAAAAGATAACTTTGAGTTTGAATTTTTGTATACATAGAAAACCTTTTAGGAAGTTATACTCGTTTTATATATTCGATCGAATAATAAAAAATTAATTTAAATTTTTGGATTTGAGATATTTTAGGAATAAAAAAATACATATATGTTTAAACGAACTTTAATTCTTTAAACAAATAGTTTCAAGTTTAAATTTTTGTATATGTAGAAAACTTTTTATGAAGTTATACCCGTTTTATATATCCGGTTAAATAATGATAAATTAATTTGAACTTTTGGACTTGAGATATTTTAGGAAAAAACATGCATAGATCTATCTACCATATATAAGATAAAAGACAATTTTTTGCATGCGTACATATATTGACAAGAGTTTGCATGTACTATAATACCATTTTCATGTTCAACATGATCTGTATTATATCCTCATTAAACCCTAACAAAGTTGGTGAGAAGGTAAACAAAATATCAAAAAAAGCCTACTAATTTAAACCCTAAGCCAAGGGATTGGGCTAATCGGAGCACATGTTATTTAGATAGAAACTTTACACCAATTCTATGGGGTTTAATACACCTCGTGTCCTTATATTTTAACGAAATTATCGCCACAACCCATGTGCTTAAATATTGTTCATAACTGATTTTATACTATCGAAAGTTGTTATAAATTAACTTCTCCATTATGTTTTTCCGTTAGTTTGACTAACTTCGTTAATTGACTTACGAATGACCAATACAATGTCAACATTTGTCACTTTAAGGGTGAGAATGTAATTTTGCTTTTAATTTTGATTTTTCTGACTTTGTTTTAAATTTAACTCATTTAAAAATATTAAAAAAAAAAAAAATCAATCCTGCTAAACATGGTTGCATCTCTGTACCATATATACAACTGTATTTCTATCAAACTTAAATCCCCAAATTGATTTAACCCTAAATGTTCATAATATCTTGCTGCTCAGCAACAAATCTTTACTAATTTGTTTGTTGCTACAATTCATTGAAGTTGTGAAAAAGAATGCTTCACTACCAATGACAAGGTCTTACGTCCAAAATACTTGGCAATAAAAATCATGGGCTATGGTCATGCTATGCTCGGGTTTGCACCATATTGACATGATCTGAGGAAGCTGGCTATAGTTGAACCCTCTCAAACAACAGGCTTGAGAGTTAAGATGCTTAAGCATGTCCGACTCACATAAACAAAGTTTCTGGTGAATGGATTTACACGAGAAAATGATGAAGGATGGAGGGCATGTAATGGTGGAAATGATGGAGAAGTTTGGGAACTTGGCAATGAACATAAGTGATGAATTGTAGCAATAAACAAATTAGTAAAGATTTGTTGCTCAGCAGCAAGAAAATATGAACATTAAGGATTAAATTAATTTATATATGCTGTATACAGATGCTAACCGCGGTTAGCATGGTTATTTTTTTTTAATTTTTAAATTATTTTAAATGATTTAAACTTAAAATAGAGTCGAAAAAACAAAATTACATTTTTCACTTTTAAAATCACAAGTATCGACACTCGTATTGATCATTGGTAAGTCAACTAACAGAAAAACATAACAGAGGGGTTAATTTACATCAATTTTCACACTAATTTTCAATAGCATAAGGTCGGTTATGGATAATATTTGAGTACAAGGATTATGACGATAATTTTATAAAAGTACAGGAACATGAGGTGCATTAAACCTCAATTCCATAAAGCCAAGTATAATAAGGTAATTTCTCACGAATTTCTCAGTTTTAGCATGAATGAGTTATATTTAATCGAACTTCAAGATTAATTCAATCTTGGTATATACGAGTCGATCCACACATAATGGTATTCGGTTTAAATTAAAAAATCGAATCGAATTGAAGATTTTAGTTCAATGTTTGTCATTTTTTTTTCAATTTGTTTTTTTTCTGAAAACAAATCGAATTTAATTAGGCTTTTGCGTTTTGATTCAGTGTTTAAAATATTTTATTCAGTTTCCACCCAAAAATCGGGTAGAATTTATATGTGTGTGCATACATTATAAATACATTTATATATGTAATACCAAATGTATGTGTATAATGATATTACCGTGCCTGTCTAGATATTTATATATAATCTAACATTAAGAAACCGTAAAACTACCCTATTAGTTCCACCTTTTGTTTATTTTTTCTTTCCTTTTTTTTTATTGAAAAATTTTATTAATTATCTATGGATTATATTATTTGACTTGGATGTTTTATGCTATTTTGTAATTGATTGGAACTTTAAAATGGCATTTCTTTCTTTCTTTCCAAAATAAAATGATGAATATATAGAAGATCAAATTCAAAAAAAAAAAAAAAAAAAACAGTGTTCAAGGAAACAAGAATCATAACATCATTTTTCATATTAAAAAAAAAATATTCAATTTTTCAATATATAAAACCAAATAATACTTCGGTTTGAGTTCGATTTTAATTTTTGTGGGTTTGATTAATAAAAAACCACATCAAATTTATCAAAAACAAAATCAAATAACCGAATGCTCACCCTATTCATACATGCAACTTTAACTTAATATCGATAAGTAGTAAATAAACACTAGTTTGGTTTTAGCACTCTAAAAAATACAAAAATGCAATGATCTTAATTGTAAAATTGAAGGTTTAATTTGATTTATATAATATGTACAATTGAAGGAATTCTGAGGCTAAAAGTATCAAACATCCATGTCTTGCTCTCATAGGTCTACACATTACGATTTGGATATCTAGATCGATCATTGAAATCTCGTGCTATCTTTTACGTCCGGAGTTCTGGCACTGGTTTGCTTCAGAAAATGATAGATTTAGTTTTATTTGATGTGAAAATTAGTTTGAAGATACCCCACTACCTATATATCTATATAAACATATACAGATTTTAAGTTTCTAATTTATTTTTATGATAAGAATTTCATACTAAACCACTGAAATTAGTAATGTGGTTTTCATATGAAACGTTTCTATTTCTTTAATTTATAAAAACATTATGAAAATAAGAAAAATATTCATACGCAAATCACATGACTAATCTTGATAATTTAATCTAAAAATCTTATCAAAATATATATTAGAAACTTAATATGTATATACACATAAAACTGAATCAATTAAAAATATAATAACAGAGAGAAAAATTAACTTAATATATATAATAACAAATTAAGCCATCAATCCCCAAAACTAAAATTAAATATAAAAAAATGCAAAAAGATACCTCACCATTTTTTCTTCTTTTGAGCTCATCAGATTTTGTTAAAGCCTGGCAATCTGAAAATCCAAGGACTGTAAAAAACCAATCCCCCACTACACCCACTATCAAAGGTCTGAGCTCTTCCAAAAAGAAACCCACGTGCATGGCTTTAATCATTTTCTTTTTTTTTGCCTTTTTTTTTCTTTTTTCTTTTTTCCTATTTTGTTATAATGCTTTTTTTTTTTTTTTTTTGATATATATGTAGCAGGTTATCCTCCAGTTAGTTTGATATCAATCGAAAATAAATCTATCACTTTTGAAGATAAAATGGCGTAAAAATATATTTAGTTTTGACCAATTATTAGACTTTTTATTAGATCAAATGAGTCTGAATCGATATTGCTAAAAAATAATTATAGCAACGAGAATTAAAACTTAGTTTTAACCAAATTAAGACAACTTCTTTACCCTTTTACCACATTGACTGGCTGGTTTATGTTATAATGTTTTGTCAATCGCTTTAATGTTAAGGCACAAAACCACACCTTTTCTTGCTCACAAATCATTACATGACAGTATCCCACTTTTAACACAGCCATTCTGCCCACACCAGAGATAGAGAAGCAGAGCTGTAGAGAAATATGAAGGGACAAGATCCTTTCCTCTCATCATCTTCCCGCCGAGAAAGCTCTCCGGCACCGGAAAAGATTCGAGCGAAGAGTATTGGATGTATGTCCGGCATTTTCCAATTCGTTTACAAATACCACAATCGCCGTAGATTCCTCACTTTCGGTAAATTTCTTCCCAATTTTCTCTTTGATTACGACAAATTATTTAATTTAAAAAATTTAAGCTGTCAGACGAAGGTTGAAGAAGACAGAATTAGTACTAATTACG